ACTCGTACTTTTAAATTGTCAAGCAAGATGAAAGATTGAATCCACGGGGATTAGAAGAATCATTCCTTCGCTGAATAGGGATTCTGGGTACTATTTTTCTCATCTCTAAATAGAATCCAAGAAGCCGCTAAGTGAAAGAATCACTTGCCTCGACAAAGGCACAGGGGTTGCCAACTAATCTTAAGGTCGGTAGAAGGTTATTTAAAACAAAAAAAATTATGCTGACACCTGACCAAAAAAAGTTTTCTGTATCTTAATTTTGAACAGTTTAAAAGGGTAGGACCGTATATTGACGCAACTTTAACTATTTAGTAACCGTCACGTACGAGGCGTCATTTCGAATGCGTTATTGATTGCGCTAATCAACCCTGTGAAGACAATGAGCCCATACGCCAGTTTTTCAACACAAATATTTGCCCTATTCAATTTCAAACAAATACTTGGTACATTGTCAGTCTCACACGGGGCGTCAAAGACCACGTCAGGTGCTGACGCAGACATAATCAGGAAAATGACGCGTCGTGCACAACGGGCATATCAAAATACGTAAACTTACGTAAGTCCTACGCCTTCCTTGCCCGCAATTGAGGCTCCAGCCATTCCAGGCTCGCATATACCGGGGGCTTTCGATCCATCAGCTTCAACTTGCCCTGTACATTATAAGACATTGTTACATTTTTATGTCTCGAATTAACAAATAACCAGCAAAAATTTCCTTAAGATATTTACATCATTTTTCTTTCTTCTTCTTCTTCGTCTTCTTCTTCTTCTTCTTCTTCTTCTTCTTCTTCTTCTTCTTCTTCTTCTTCTTCTTCTTCTTCTTCTTTATGAGCAAAGCCCCCCCCCCCCCCCCTCCCCCCCCCCCCCCCGTCTGGTGTACTCGCATACTGTTGAAGGTGCTGGGCAGGCTTATGTACACAAACAAATTGAATTGAACAACTCCTAAGAAATCTGCGTAAAGATGAAAAGTATTCATAACAAAATAAACATTTTAAGAGGTAGTGCAATTGAGAGACTTGAACAAAAAAGGCTTGCAGTATTATTGATGATAGAGCGAGAGAGTACAAGGAACAGACGAGTAAAAGAGAGAGGGAGAGAGAGAGAGGGAGTATAGAGAACAGATAGGAAAGAGAGAGGGAAAGGGGGAGAGAGAGGGGGAGAGAGAGAGGGGGAGAGAGAAATAGGGAGAGAGAGAGAGAGAGAGTGAGGGGGAGGGGGAAGTGAGGTGATGAGCGAGAGAGAAGTTGTGGAGAACAAAATATATGAGGAAAAAAGGGATGAACACTAATAGTTGGGTTTACAACTTTACAGACAGTGTACCAAAATCAGTCTGTGGCATCAATTTTATAGCATTATATCTGACTGAGTGATCCATATGTTAAAAAAGGTGACAACCATTTCCCTGTTCCAGCTAACTATATACCTAACTACATGAATGCTACTTTACCTACTCCATGACCCATTTCTGATTGACCAGACCACGCTGACTTTGGCTCTTGGTATTTGAGAAGAAGATCAATCTCACCCTATAACTATTCATTCCGACCTTTAATTAATAGACCTACAACAATAACAAATTCTCGATTGCTAATTTCTCAAGTTATTTGCAAGCAGTAAATACAGAGTGAAACTTCCCTTTGGCTAAAACCGAGGTAACATAATAACAAAGGCATATTATCATTATTATATCTTTAAACTTTTATATTACTATATTTTCCCCAAAATAATTTCCAGGGGGAATCTTAATTATTATTTTTATGATTATCGTTTTCTGTCACTCAAAATAGATCTATTATGCACTATCATGGTTAGCAGACAATTTTGCCATAAGGTAATGAGACTGCAAGTCACTGCATTCATTTTCGCTTTCGTAATAAGATAGAAACTAAGCAGGGTTTAACGGATACAGTTATAATTGTTTGTTTTTCAATTTCCTGTAACATGAAGAGGTATTATTTGACATTGACATTACATAGCCGAGTGCAATTTTCCTTCTGATTTAAGCTATACTGTACATATACGCAGCATACCAATTTTGACTGTCTTAACTTTTGAGATTAAAGAACATAATGATGCGTATTCATTAAGTTAGTATTATTTTATTATTATCACAAACTTAATTAAATAATATCACATACAAACTAAAGCAAACTAAACTAAAATTGCCCAAAATGTAGAGTGAGAAATGACAGTTTGTGTTATGTGTGTTTGTTTTTTTATCTTAACATAAATTATAAAATTTAATTATAATAATTTTTCCAACTATCCGATTTGGGTTTAATCCATAGAGATATATACTTAATATCTCTATGGTTTAATCCTATATCTGAATAAATAATTTATTTTGATGCATTTATCCAATTTTTATCATAGATCGTTATACTTTTTATGTTCCTCAGATTGGTTTTCCTGCTGGATTTTTTTTTTTTTTTTACATCTCTATGGTTTGTACGTAATAAAGAATAAACTATAGATGTTTTCATTGACCTCGAAAAGGCGTATGACCTTCTGGAGCCTAAGGAATAGTATACAAATGTCACCAGTTTGAAGGGAAAAGCACTATACGATGGATATATACATTTTTACACAATCGATACTGTATAGGTTGAAATTGATGGTTAAGTAAGTTCTCTTCCTATTTTGAGCAACTTGACTGGGAAACCAGGTCAAAGTCCTTTTATCAAAAGAGCATGCATTACCGATTTAAAGTTGAGCAACTAAAAGAGTGTTAATTAAACCTTTCTGGTGTTATTCAACGCCCAATATTTCCTATTATATTCATACAATTATTAATAAGAAACACAATTTTATTTCAGATATGAAGAACTGTGTATTAGAAAGAATAAAGATGGACTGAAGGTTATGTAAAATTTACACTGATGGATCTAAAGAGGACAAAAGCAATGGATCTGCTTTTTATAAAAAGTTATAGGTTTAGTTATTAATAAACATAATGAGAGCAGAAGTAGCGATATTGATGGCCTTGGATTGGCTAAAAGATTGTAGAGGAATGTCAGTTGTTTTGTTTACAGAATCATTGTCAGCAATTCAGGTTCTAGAGTTATATGAAAGAGAAAGAAGGATAATGCAAAGACGATTGAAATGTGATACATTAGATTTAGTAAAATTATTCGGAAATTTATCGGATTCTAGAGTCCTCTTAAATTATATTAAAGCTACAAACAGATTTGAAATGTTCGTAGGGCCTACTGGACGTTTTCCTTTTATGAGTATGTGATTATAATTGAAATGTTTGAATATCATCAATATTAAAATCATAGAGATGACATGAAAATGCACTACTAATGGTGAATGGAAATTAAATATACTTAAACTTGCACTAGCACTTCGCTGAGACAGGTAATTAAGCCAACTCTGAACTCGAAAAACAGGAGCCTGGAAAGAAAGACCCCCTAAAATTAAAAAGTAAAAGTGAGCCATATGAGATCAAAAGTTCGAAAAGATGAACATCAAGAAGGAACGCCGTGGCGCGGATAATATGACAAGATTGAAGAGCGCCATCTAAACGCCAACAAACAACGTACATTACCATAGACGGTCTACCATTATGCATTGTGTACAACACTAGCCAACACCTATTTTTTTCTCGGTAAAACAGGTGCATATTTCTCACGATGTCTTCATCTGATCGGGATAGAAATCGCTCTGGAAGGGGCCAGCAGGGCCCACAAAGTAGTGCTGATAAACCTCCTAATAGTCGTCTCTTCATCATCTGCTCTAAGCTTCAGACAGAATCCGATTTAAAGGACTATTTTGGGCAGTTTGGTGAAGTGGAAGATGTGTTTCTTGTCAAGGATAAGGTGACGCGCGAGCCGAAGGGAGTCGCTTACGTGAAATTCGCCAAGTTCTCACAGGCTGCTCGGGCGATGGAAGAGTCGGACGGCAAGCGAGTGATGAACATGAGCAAGCCCATCAAGGTGATTTACTGATTAACGTAAACATATGGGGGAAAATGTAATCTAGTTATGATCTAGTTGTTTTATCATAAACTTATGTAGAATGTAATTTTCTAGATGGTTAACCAATAACCATGATAACCAGCTGAACAACTGCAACATGTTTAACTTAGTCTTGATAAATAATAAATTAAAGGGAATGTTTTGTCATATTTTATTTTCTAATGTTTATGGTAGATCTAGTCTAGACCTAGATCTAATTTCAGACTGTCAGGTGTAGCCTTAAGGGCTCCCTTGAAATGTTTTTTTATGATATTATTCAAGGGAGCCTTAAACGGCTCCCATAGGGTCCCACGGAGAGGTAGGTAAACAACATCTCAAAGTCAAATGGGTCCAAAATCAGTTTTTTGCATCGCCAATGCGTGAATCGGAAATAGGAATTGTCAGCAAAAATGCAGAAGATACTTATTCTTAGACTGTTGGACCAGCTTGAATAAACTAAATCCAATTTTTTTTTTTTTTTTTTTTTTTTTTTGAGATAGACCTAGACCTATGATATTTTTTTTATTTTATACGCAACCTTCACACAACCCGTCAAAATCTACTTAACGACTTATAGAAAGCCATTAAGTAACTTCGGCAGACTCACAGTGCCGATGATCTCCGACCTGAGCGGAGGAAGGATACAAGAGAGAGAAGAGAGAGATAAAACAATGCAAATCCCTTGGTCAAGTTGAGGACATTAAAATGCATGTAGCCTAGTATTAGAAGTAAGTAGTAAGGCCCAAATTTTGCCCCAAATAGGTTCTAAAATCCCCAAAAATATTCACAATTTTAGACAAAGATCAATATTGAAACCACCAAACTTTCAGGATATACATGTTTTTTTTCAGCAAATAATGTTTATAGAGTACCGAAGCTGTGACATCATAAAAATCTATTTTTAGAATTTCTCAATTTTTTCTACATTTTCCGAAAGAGCATAAAAAATAATGACCATCTGAATAAATGTATTTCCTACAGTACATGTATGATAACTCAGTGTTATATGCTCTGGCTCCTAATGGTTAGGAGCCAGAGCATACAACACTGAGCTCCCATAGGACATATATTTATTCAGATGGTAATATCTCAGCCAGTACTTAACATATTCAATTGGTTTTCGACATTTGGACATTATTTTGATGCTCTTTCGGAAAAAGAAAAAAAAATTGAGAAATTTAAAAAAAAAGATTTTTGATGACGGCACACTTCACCACTCTATTATGTTTAAGTTGTTATAATTTTCAACTGAATGGCGCTTTGTTAACATGGAAATGGTATAGACTCCATGACAACAAATCCACTTTTGGCGATCAAAATGTTGAACTAAAATCGATTTTTCTAGCTTTGTTAAACGTCTGATTGCTTTTTGTGATATTTATGACAAATATAGAATTGAAATACTTAAAATCTCAAAATACTAAAAATCTCAAAATATAAAAATGAAAGTTTTCCGGCTGATCTGGAGCAAATTGGTGAATGAGGAAGGGGACATAAGCATTTCAAGACTTCCATTTTATTTTGAAAGCTATAAATTTATCACCAAGTGTATGTACATGTATGTTTGATAGATTCCCCAGAATCAAATCATCCAACAATGTAAGCAAACGCAATTCTACTTTGATTGATTTTGACTAGTGTTTGTATTGGTTACAACCTCATGCTGACACCCACATATCTATTTACCTATGAGCGATGTCACTTTAGGGGCTAACTAATTATTCTTTTCATCATTTTTTTTTCCTCCTTTAGGTTATCATTGCAAATTCCCGAGGTTCACACAGCTCCAAAGACATTGACGAGAAGACTGAACTCACCCGTCTCTTTGTAGTTGTTCCTAGTTCATACGATGATGATGAATTGTACAAGAAATTTGATGGTAAGTAGCATACATGCCAACTGTTCAGATTAAAGAGGAACATTCCTCTTTTTGGGAGAAGATAATTATCATTTTAATGCAGGTGTTCCTCTTCCTGTACAACTTTGTCTGTAGTATTGAATAGGAGAGTTAGGATTGTTCCTCTTTTTTTTTTAAATAGCATAATTTATACAGATTTCTGATTTTCAAATGTTGGCATGTATGAAGTAGCCTACAATGCCTCTGGAATTTCAAGTGTGTGATTGTAAGGATATTGTTACTAGTAGTATTTAGTTGTCAGTCAGATTTATTTAATATTTGATTTTAAAAATCAAATATACTTTATGTTCTATTTAACTTGATTTAAACAAGTGTTGTGAAGCAGTTTTAAGCATGAAAACAAAAGAAATTAGAGAACTTCATGTACCAAATCAACAAACCCACACAAATGAGGTATAGATGTCAGATGTATGAGTCACAACAACACCCATCCCCCCCCCCCCCCCCCCCCCCTATCCCCTCGAATTCCCCTGCGGAAGAAGAAAAAAAATCAAAATAAAAAATAAATCAAAAATGTGTTCTACATGTATATTCCGGTGTCTTTAGATATTTTCCCCTCATACAGTTGTACATGCTCCTGTAGGTGTGTACAATGTACACCTAGATAAGTTTGAAGGAAAACAAAATTGTTATTCAAACACTACTGCAGTGCACATCAAACGACAAGGTACCGCAGTCTGGTTCGAGAAAAGTAAACACACTTTGAAGTGTTCACATACAAACTATTTGAGTTTGCATTCCATTTGGAAGAATTTCATATTGTAAACATTGTCTCAAAATGTTCTCATTCAATTGACAGAGTATGGGGAGATCGACCACGTGACCATCATAACCGACAAAAAGACTGGAGCGAATAAAGGATTCGGTTACGTCAAGTTCAGAAGAGTGTCGGGGGCTGCCAACGCACTGGAGAATTGTGACAGAAGTAAGTGAAGAATGAGGATATTAGTTTCATCATATATTAGAAATGGCACCAATAGCTGAGATTTACACTTACAATACCTAGCTGATGAAGTTATCAAGTTGGTGATTAAATACATGTACCGGTATACACAAGATTATTTCATTTACAAAATTGGGTTCCTTTAGTAGAATTTATGAGGTAAATAAACAGTTGGAGAAATCCCCCAAAATAACAAATACAAAATAAAATAAAATTAAAAGAAATTATTTTGACCTTTCGTATCTTTGGATAGCAATAGTTGAAATCAGATAAGCACACAAGATTCTGCCTTATTTTTACTGCCTCGTGCGATTCTAGTCATCATGATTGATTGAATGATAAATATCACAATTTTATAATAACTCCAGAAAAAAATATTTGTCAGTAGATCAAAAGTATAAGCGACAGTATACCAAATCATTTTTGGAGGATAGAAAGGGCTACCAGGACAATGGGAGTTTTCATTCTCATGAACTGAATTCTAACCTCCTTTATGGAAGTGATACTGTTTTCATTCATTTAAGATTTTATTGTGTTCAATGAAAACTCAGGTATGTTATATCCATAATTGATCAGCAGTTCTGTGTCATAAACTTTCATATGAATTGAGCCATGTAATCATTTTTTTTTTATCATATTTCCCTCATCAGGCTTCAAGGCAGTTATGGCCGAACCACGGAGGTCAGAGAAGCGGAGCCGAGACGACGTGTTTGAGAGGGATTACTCTCGGTCATCTGACCATGACCGCTTGGACTACGGCCGTCCGGACTACATCAGATACGATCACGTGCGGAAGGATTACGGGAGGGGTTCTGACGGAGGAAGAGCAGCGGACTACGGACGATTTAGCCACAGCAGGGTGGAGAGTGATTACCCTATGAGAGGGGAGTATACCTCACCCACTGCCCTCCCTAGGGCCACTGCTCCTCAAGTTGGCAACTTTGAAGTGGATGGCATGTTCTTCCCTCAAGGTCCAGGTAAGCAAATCATATAATTGTAATATAGAGAAGCAGAGCTGCCAACCATTCCGTTTTTGCCGGAATTACTCCGTTTTTTCCTCCGAATTACGGTATTACGTTTTTTCTTCATAAAATACGTTGTTTTTTGTTTTATTTAAACATTCCGCGAGTCAAACAACTGCCCTAAAATGGTGATTTGATCACAAATTCAATAGAAAACTAATTTTAAAACATACTTGAAAACATACTTGAGAAAAATATTCTCATAAAGAATGAAAAGCAGATAATACCAAAATAACCACACAAAAAATACCTGCTTGTATGGAAAAAACAGCATGAGGAATGAACATTTCTGCATTGGAAGTGTGTCACGCGTACCACCAGATGGAGAGTTAACATACATCATGTATTTTGGTATTTGCGAAGCAGCTTCAGATACATTTTCATGTTTAACTCAACTAATTTCTTAACCATAGATTGCTTTCTTCACAAGTATATTTACAGTAGTTATTATTATATTTTGTGACTCTTGTAATAGCCAGCTTAGTGTAGTAAAATTAATAAACTAACAAAAAGAGAGGAACTTTGGTTGTGGTATGATATGGCTTAATTGAAATTGATACTGCCTGAGATGCTAAGAAAGCAGATTAGGAACATGAATGTTTAGGGATAATCAAGCGAGGAATGTGGTATTTGAGGATCAATTACTTGAATAAATACTTGATGAAGCACGGATGTGGTTTCAATGCATTAACTCCTAGCATCAAGACCACTGCATTAAAAGCCAAGGATTACACTGTGACTGTGCATGTATTTCCTAATTATGTTTTGATGAATATTTTTGCTTTTTATTGATTTGTTTTCTATGCACATGAATTTTTTTGGTTTTGTTTATTCTTTTTTTAATAACAATTTAGATCACATGAATTGAATTGAGTTGAATGAAATCACATTTGTTTTTATTTGTCAAATTATGGCTTACATGTACATATACATGTATGGCTTAGATTTCAATTAGTCATGTAAGTCACCAAATCAGCAATTTGAATTGGCATTGATTCAGTACTACTGCAATTCCTAATCTAGAATACTCATTCCATGTTTGACTTAATTTCAGAGAGACAGATAATCTATTAAGTTAAACCGATGAACCTTTCCTTCCTTCAAATTCATAGCATTTAGATGGACACGGTTTGGACTACATTATTTGTCTTCCATTTGTGTTCATTTGAAATACACCTGGGCCCTGTTTCATAAAACTTGTTATCAATAACAAAGTAAGATTATTGTTATAAGCTACTGAAATCCTTACTTTTGATTATGGCTATGAACAGATGTGGCAAATTTGAAAGGTACTGGGGGTTCATGTAAATCACTCTTTCCATCTTCCATACATGTATGTAGAGGTGTAGTGGTCAAGTGGTTTTTAGCACTCGACTTGAAATTCAAAGGTCGTGGGACGTGGGTTGTTCCCAGACACGGCACTGTTTTTTGGCAAGACATTCATCTACATTGGCCACTCTAATACTCCATACCCAGAAGAGAAATGAGGACCTGATAGGATAACCAAAGCCTTTGTGTTAGTAATTGCCATGTGCCCTCATGCTGACCATATGGTAGGAATATTCCCCAGGGAGTGGAGATGGTGCACATTGTGAATGAATGAATCCGATGACTGGGGTCACAATATCTGTTAAGCGCTTAGAGAGGGTATTTCTTATTAAGCACTACCGGTGTATAAATCTAAATTGTTATTATCATTATTATTCATTATTATTCTATTTCCATACGTGTAGGATTTCCAATGAATCTCTTATTAAGCACTATATAAATCCAAATCATTATATCATCTATCATTATTATTTTCTATTTATATATTTCCGTCTGTGTAGGATTGCCAACGAACCTCTCTCCCAGGCTGGTTGCTGACATCGTGGGTCCCGTCACAGAGACGCAGGTCAAGGGTCTGTTTAGCATCATCCCAGGCATGGAGTACTGTGATTATAGAGAAGAACAGGTCAGCTGGGGATACAAAGGTATGTCTTCATACAACTACAGTCAAAACCTGCTTTAGCGACTACCTGTATAAAAAGAGCACCTGTCTATAAAGACCACATTTTTCATTTCCCTTGAATATAGTTTATCATTGAAACCTGTATAGCAATTTGCTTCTTTGTGGTCCTGATCATGTATTTGCTTTGTATTTTGTACGTTTTATGTATTCTATTTTCTATTGTATGTTTTTTGCTTTTACATGTATATGGTTTAATAAATTCAATTCAAAGACCACTTTTCTTCTCTTCCTTGAGCGGTCTTTATATACAGGTTTTACTGTAAATCGCATTAGTTAGTAAATTATGAAGCTGTGCGTTAGTCTTAAATTATGTTGAAAAGAAGAGGAATAATATATGAAAAAGAATTTTTTTAAAGATTGATGTACAGTGAATATTATTTTGCATGTTGAAAGAGAATTTGTTGCATGTGTTTCTTGTGTTGGTAGATTTTATAAGATCACATATCTTGGAGAGTGGAGAAAAGGGGGAAATAATGATATACTGGCAAATTTATTATTTTAGAAAAATATTTGCCTGATATTTACCGGTAGTTCTAACAATTATTGTGAAGTGTTCAAAGCCTTTGATAAATAATTTAGTACACCAAAAGCCAAAACAATGTTCATTTGTGTCTGACTCTGTAATATATTGCTTTTTCCAAGGAATAAACATCTCTTGTTGGCTGTAGCCTACATGTAACTGCTATTAAATGTACATGTACATGTACATCATACAACAAATAATCACATACATGTACATGTATGAAATGTGAGTGAGCATTTGCCCGATTTCAAAGTAGCAACCTTGTTAGTAAAAGATAAAAGGGCTCAACAACTATTCAGTATCTATTTTCTAATATATGAACATCACCTACATGTACTTGATGTCATTCCAATCCAGTATATATTTAATAATTATTTTTCTTCCTTGAGTAAAATTATTCTTTTACAAGCGTAAGTTAGAACAAGATGGGAGTGGTATTCATTTGATGAATATCTTTATTCCTTATCCAAGTAATATGTACTACATAGTTCTTCTTTCTCTGTATATCCTGCAGGTACTGCTTATGTGCGATATAGTTCGGCTGCCCAGGCTGCTTACGCAAAGCAGAAACTTGATAACTTTGAGTACCCTCCCGGCTGCCCCATGCAAGTCAAGTTTGTAGAGGACAACTCATCGACCACAATTAATACAGGGTAAGTCAAGAAAAACTATTCTGGTAGCAGATTTATTCTTATAAGTCAAAGCTCATTCAACTGAACCCATTTTCATGATTGTTGTACCTCTTTAATAGCTTTTTGTATTTAGCAGAGCAGCAGTTAAGTTTTTTAACGAGTTTCACAAAGATCCTAATTAGAACTTAAGTTGGACTTAAACATTATGAAGAGCCATTTGTAGCCTTAAAATGAAATATATTCAAAAGTAGAAATTCCACATCAAGAACATGAAATCTCCTTGATGATAGAAAATATGAATCATTTGAATCAACATTTTATGCCTTTCGAAATAACTTTAACAAAATATTTTCAAAGATGCTAACGGCTTTCCATAATTTTTAAGTTCAACTTAAAATCTTTGTGAAACACCCCCTGGACTTTATTAATTCTTTGTAAAATATGTTTTGCAGGTCTGTTCTTGGAGGGTTTACCCCTGCTGCAGCAAGCCAGCCACCATCCTGCACTGTGGCTCTACCTCCTCTTCAACCTATGGCAGATCCTGACAGGTATGGAGAAGAGACACAGAGAAAGAGAGAGATACAGCGAGATGGGGAGAGGGAGGGAGGAAGGGGGGGGGGGGAGAGAATGGAGAGGGTTGTAAGGTGGGAGAGAAAGGTTGACAGGCTGAACAAGCATCTTACTCTGATCCTAGAGGTTTCACTCCTATTAAATCACGCCAGCCACCATCCTGCACTGTGGCTCTACCTCCACTACAACCCATGGCTGACCCTGACAGGTATGGAGAAGAGACACAGAGAGACAGACAGAGAGAGAGAGAGAAAGACAGACAGACAGAGAGAGAAAGAAAGAGAGAGAGAGAGGGAGGGAGAGAATGGAGAGAGAAAAGGGGATAGAATGGAGAGAGAAAAGGGGATAGAATGGAGAGAGAGAGAGAGAGAGAGAGAGAGAGAGAAGAGAGAGAGGAGGTGGGGAGAGAATGGAGCAGGTTGTAAGGTGAGAAGGTGTAAGACAGAAAGGTTGGTCGGCTGAACGAGCATCTGACTATGATCCTAGAGGTTTCACTCCTATTAAATCAAGCCAGCCACCATCCTGCTCTTTGACACTACCCCCTACAATCCATGAGGGGTATAGTGTTAAGAGAGAGAGAAAGAGGGAATGAGAGGGGGGGGGGGGGGGAGGGAGAAGGTGTGACAGAGTTTGGAAGGAGGGATACGGATTGCTCTCAAAGGGTTTCACTCCTGTGGCAAGCCAGGTGCCATCCTCAACGGTTATTTGATCTTGCCCAGTAGATTTCTTTTTTTTCTTTTTTTTGTTATGTGTATGAACTTTCTTAAATATTGACCCTTTCTCACAATGCAGTCCTGTTGAAGAGCGCCTGTTTGTGATCTGCACCCGCCCCCTTCCAGATCCCATCATTTGTGATGTCTTCAGAAGATTTGGAAACTTCATCAGCTACAAGAACGTCCATGGACGTAACTATGGCTACGCCAAGTATGCAAGTGAGTTTCATTAATATTAACTTTCCAAAGACTGCAGCCTTTTAAAAAAAGAGTTTCGTATCAGATATATAGCTTATTCAAACAAAATTGCTGGTATTTATAATGGCATATCAGGTTTAGTCCAGGATTAGGTGAGTATAGTCCTGTTTTAAGTGGGTATAGTTTGTCCACAGATTTATGGAGCGCCACATGTCAACCTCCTCATCGTGCTAAAATTGCCATATTTATACAACTTTATGAACAAAACAAATCTTGTCAACATGAAATAGAATTGACATTTTTATTATCTTACAGATCACAAGATACTGAGCTTATCACTTAGTCCACCATTTTGTAAGCTGGCATTCTTCATGAAATTTCCAAGCCCCACCTTTAATCTTTCATTTTGTCTTCTAACTCCTTCTCTAATCACCCCCAGGGAAAGAATCGGCTGAAATATGTCTCAATACTCTCCACGGGCAGACGATAGCCGGTGAGAAGCTCAAGGTCATCGTCGCTGACCCTGAACCAGAAGAGAGAAAGCGCCCTCGTACAACATGAAATTGCCAGTCAAGCTCCCAAGCAGTCGGGTAAGTCTGTAATGGTATTGCATGGTTTTTCTGTCGCGTATTATAGAAAATGATAGCTTAGATATAGAAAACAAACAAGCAAGGGTTTAGGAAAGAAATTAGCGTACACTTCATGAAAACAAAAAATAGAGATAGATTTGTTCATGTTCATATGCACACCAAACATAAATTGCTATCAAATTAAGACTTTGTTACTTCACATCTTCATCAAGCCTAACTTGCACTATAAGGTTATAATGAAATAAATACAGTGTTATCTTTTCTTTACAAGGAGATTATATTTCCTCTGAGAGGGATGGTCAGGCTTATCTGTCATTTAGTAGCTATCTTACATCTTTCATCATTCTCTAGCATTGCATGTGAATTCATTTCAATTTAATAATTCAAGCGAAGTCATTTTCTTTCTTCTAATCAAGGTAAAATTATATTTTGTATGTATTCGATTGTATTATCCTATTCTAGTTGACATTACTTAACTGAAAGACCTCTTTTACTGGAAACTTTTCTGTGCAGAGTTTGACGTTTGATATGACATGTTTTAACTGTTATACCTATCTTCATTGACACAGAACTCATTCCAAGACACAAGACTTAGACTTCTGTACAGTAACCAAGTAACCGAGCTATTCCTGCACGTTATAAGCTACTACGAGACAATGAACTGTTGCGCACGCCAAGAGACTTTGACAAAGCATCCATGAACGAGAACGTGACAAGCGTATCGCACTTTACAGATACCCAAGACATTGCACTACCACATTATATTTACGCCCAGATACCGTGACAAATCACAAACAAGAACTTTGTCAAGCATTGACAGCCACTATGGGACGGTGAGTATCTACTTGAGCTCAAAGATGTTGACAGACTTTGCGAAGAAGTACTCCGACAAGCGTTATCGCATATACAGCAACTATCCGACAATAGCATTGTCTACTTCACTAAGAGCCACTTCGTCTGTGTACCCGCAGACCATCTGACAGCATCTGTGAAATAGAGTCTCTGACACGCATTACATCACTTACAGCGACCACAAGAGAATGAACCTCATCTCTACGGCGCATGACTGACGAAGCATTTGTGAAAAATGCGTTCAACCATAACGAGACAACAAATCTCTATGAACTTCCAGAGACTGACATAAACTTGTAAACCAGAAACCAGACAAGCGTTTACAGTCACTACGATACAATATCCTAGAGCTGCTCATGCATACAAAGTATATACATTTGTAAAGCAAACAAGAACTGTGACAAGAAATAGCACTTAAGCCACCTCAAGACGGGAACCTCTACCTACGCCCAGACTCTCTGACAAAGCATTAGCGAACAAGAACCCCTGGCAAGCGTTATCTCATGTACAGACAAAGCATCAGGACAACTTTGACAAGGTTTTCTACACCTACAGTCACTACAAGACACGGAAGTACTCTGACGAAGCACTTATGGAAAAACATTCATCAAGAAAGTTGTTTAGTCGGCTAACACGTCTGCACTATTTGGGAAGGCTTGTACACACAGCCTGACCCTCAAACATGCAAGCGACCAAACTCACCTGCCTTACAAGACATCATTTCCTTACCATATGCTTTGGACAAAACTCTGACTCTACATGATTTACTTTGTCAATGAACAAGCTGTTCTTGAATGTTAGGCTTTCTGGGAGAAGTTGCAACTGTTGAAATTTTTTGCTTGCACCGAGTAGATGAAGATCGCATTCTCGATCCTTATTTACTGGGTGCAAGCCAAAATTTTCTGAACAACAACTAGCTCTCATCTGTCCAAGGTGTGACACTAATTTTAAATATATGGTCTCCAGATGTTTATCTAAAAGACGAGACTCTATAAAGCCAAATAACTCTTCTCTATCAGAACTTTACTGACAAATGCTTCGGCAAAAACTGCCGAGATATACTCCCTAACCCTAATGAGGTCGCGCTGCGTCTTAACCGCTTGAATTTCCGGATTCATGTATCATGACTTTTTTCTTTCAAGCCTCCTGCACATTTTGACACCAAATTTGTGCAATTCGGACCTACGGCAGGCTGTCAAATTACAAGTATTGATCACATGCCAATCAAAATGTGCATATTGTCTGTTTGCTAGTGGGTCTGCCTATGGAAAGTTTACACTCCTATTCCACTAAGTGAGACATATCTTAGGTTCATTTAATAAAAGAAAACATAAAATATAATGACAATAGAAAACATTTATGTATCAAACAACTTATTTTCCAACCATTTTACACTGTAAAACTGCAAAATACTGTAATTACGTTTTGAAAATTTTGCAAAAATTTTGCATATCACATCAGAAATAAATTTATTATAAAAGAACGTAGCAAAATATTGTTGTCATGTTCTTCAGTATACTTTATTCAATAAAATTTAGAAACCCTTGAAATACCCCGGCCTCATTAGGGTTAACAAAAGAATCCCATATGTATTATGACTCAATTATGCAGCCGCACCAGCACCCCCCCCCCCCCCCCCCCCCCGAAAAAAAGAAAGAAAAAAAAATGATACCTAGAATGACATTTTCTGTGGTTTGGTAGTTTGACTGTGAATTCCCCCTAAACATATAATTGAAATTTCCCATAAATACACGCATCAATATACCATCTTAAAATATCATGTCATACTAGGCACTTTAAAAAAAATCCCATCTGAATGAAACGACTTCCAAACACTTGACTTGTATATGCCCTCTATAGGTAATATTTGTAATTCTATTTGCAAGCACAAATCCTGTGCCGTTATTATGTGTATTTGATAGATAAAACCACTCACATAATTTACTCAGAACGTGTGCTCGTTTTAAATTGTGCTACTTTTTTAAAACCATTTTTTCCTTTTTTATAAGTTAATTCAAGTGAGTATCACCTTACGGTTACTTAAGAATGTAACTGATATCAGTTTGTTTAGATGTCCAGTATTTGTAGGTACATTTAAGAATTGTTTAATCATTTTAGAGTGTTCAATGTAGCCTCAATGTATCTTAGCTTCTAATGTAATGCATGTCCTTTGTATCATTGTTTGTAAATCATGATAAAATTTGTTATCAGTATAATTGGATTTAAAAGACATTCAAAAAATGTATTCAGAACTGAATGGAAAAAAAACTCATGCTTTAAATGGAAACAAAGTACTCTTTTACTTACATGTGAAAATATTGCTCATTACTTCTTGTTACTGGAATATGTTTGTAGATGCTATGATAATTTTTAAATGTACAAAGATTGTTTTTTTGACAAAAAAAATTGGACACAAGATGGCAGATGCAAAACAGCTCAAATTCTATAGTATTAGCAGTCGCTTCATGACTTTATTATGCATATTTCTTAAAGCTGTCTTTTTGTAGTACATTGTACGAAATGTGGTATTATGGTAATAAAAGTCTTGATGTTTGCAATTCTATCCATATAGTTTTATTTTGAATATCTGTGGTAAATTGACTACCGTAATTAACGGTGTATTAACCGCACCTTTTTGCCGCCGAAAAAAATTAAAAGTCGGGGGTGCGGTATATACACGGTACACCCAAATTTTTTTTTTTTTTTTTTTTTTTGCAAACTTTTTTTGGGCGCTATGCCTGGCAATGTCTCCCAGCTCAGTAATCAGTGTGTTGACTCACCACTCGGAAACTAGAACAACACTCAAATTTGTCTGTCATCTTGGTTCGAAAGTAATCTATCTGATAGATTTTAATATGTAGTTTATAATAATAATTCCTCCAATTTTTCTTCTATTACACGGCGTACCACAAGGTTCTATCCTAGGTCCTCTACTGTTTTTTAAGTCGGCAAAAAAAAGTCGGCAAAAAAAAAGTTGGCGAAAAAGAGGGGTGCGGTTAATACACGAGGGCGGTTTATACAACGTTAATTACGGTACTTATGTATATATGATAACATGAAAGGAGAAACTGCTCATGGACACTGGTGAATCGACCCCCATTTTGAATGTCAGATAGAAATAAAATAGATTTAAGGTCTTACTACAGTAAGTGAAGGGACTTCAGGAATTTTTCTTTGAAACCTTGACTACTACTTACACCAAATTAAGATGCACATATTACGGTAGTTGGTTTCATTACAAAAACATATCACTTCAGTCAAGATTTTGCACTAGAATTTAAGTTATGTTTTCAAATTACAAATTTCCTGTAGCATATACAGGATATTGAAAACAGTGAATCCTGTTACAAACTCGATCGTTCTGTTTCAGTATCTCATAATTTGAATGTTCTGGTACAAGCATGTAGGAAATGTTTGCTTTGTAAACATTCTCATCGTTGCCAAACACATGAAACAGACTAATCCTCCACAAATCCATTGAGATACATTTAGGATTATCCGATGTAGTAGTATTAATAACCCTTAAGCCTGGGATGTAGCTCTTCCTGGAGTTAAATACATGAAGTACTTTTGAATCATGTTGTAGTAAATATGACATTTCAAATCATTCTTATAGCCCGTCAGACATGTGTGATATAATAGTACACTACAGTCCAGGCGCATAGGCAGGGGGTGTTTTGTGGGTTAAACCCCCCCCCCCTCAAATTTGTTGTTGTCAAGGGGGGGGGGGAGGTGTTAAGATTAGTGCTCATTACACTACCCCCCCCCCCCCCCCCCCCCCCCTCCATCCCCCACTGAGCGAAATATTGATTGGGGCAATTTTCAAATTTGGGAGGGCAAAAAGAAGAAAAGATATTGCTCCCCCCCCCCAGGCTATATACATGTAGGGTTAAAGCATCTCATCCAGAATGTTGCTGACTTTTAAAGCCCCACTGTTGTACTTGTAGCTACTTGCTCCCTCTATATAGAAGATGTCCCCAATCCCCCTTTTTCTTATGTTAGTTGAGAGCCGAGTTGATGGGATAGCCACCTGTCGGTGACCTTGCTCGGTGGTCTAATCCCTTCTGGCCCAGTAGTATTGACAGTCTTTAATATGTGCATGAATGAAGTTGACAACTCCAACTTGTATCGATCAAAATAAAATTGTCTCGACACTTGTTCTTCTGATGGAAGAAAATACTGACTTGGAGCTGATAGAATTATAGTCTATCGAGAAGAATGACAAGCACAAGATTTTTAACATCGGTTTGACTGTTTTGACCACAATGGACTTCACATACTCCAGTATACATGACTACATTGACTTTTATACCTGACTAAGGTAAGTATTCCAGTGGCACGTTGTACACATGGCATTGACTGTATGTTCAAAGCAGAATGAATAGTAAAATACTTGTACCCGGTAATTGTCTTTTAATTACACTATTAATATATGTTTATTTGAAGCTTGCTTTGTGTTTTTGTCAAATGTGTATACAGTGAAAGCTTTTTTTAAATTAAAATTTTGCAAATGATACCGGAATGTGCTTCATCTTAATCTCCCCCCCCCCCAAAAAAAAAAAAATAATAATAATAATTAATAGGCACCAGAATTCCATACTCCCAATTAATTCGATTTAGCCACTAAAATTCATATATTGTGTGAAAGATCATTAGACTGCTTTTTATTTCAATTAAAGGCTCGTATTAGTGGGTTTTCATTTGGAATTTGACACCATTCAGGTGTCTACCCAACAAAAGGCATTGTCAATCACAAAGATTGGACTTCACTTTTATGAATGACAGGTCTTGTGTAATCCACTGTGCCCGGAACCGACCATCAACCATTTAAAGCCCCACTGTACTGTACTTATTGCTTCTTGTGCCCTCTATATAGCAAACAATGCTTAATCTGTGACTACTGGTCCCCCATGATCCTCTTTTTCTTATGTTAAGTGAGAGCTGATTTGATGAGATAACCACCTGTCAGTGATCTTGCAGGGTGGTCTAATCCCTCCTGGAAACTAGTACAGATGGGCTTTAAATTCCAGCTACAGCTCCTTTTCTTTATCATCTCCTATCCATCCCAAAGTGCTTGAAAAGCTTCAACTATGTTTTTGTTTTCCCTTATAATTTTTCCTCTACGAGTATAGTGAAAAGTGGATTATTACCATGCCATGATCAGCAAGTCTTTATTTTTATTTCAGAAGTTGATAATCAAATTTTTGAGCAATTGTGAATCTTGTAAGTGGGGATAGGGATGCCCACTGCATGTATTCTGTTTTACATGTTAATGAATATGTTGAGTCTTGTACATACACAATGCTGTGAACTGCCTTAAAACATCCTGCTGCGGTGAAGATTAGCTGGAGGCAACAAGGGGCAATATGCAAACTCATTTATCTGTGGTCTACAGTCTAGAAAGAGGTGTCGTGGTCTAGTGGATACGTCAGCGGACTGTGGATCACATGGTTTGCGGAGTACCACCACGGCACATATGTCCTTTAGCAAGACATTAATCAATATTTGCCACTTTCCACCCAGATTCAGTAAATGGTTACCTGGTAGGAATTTTTTCCTTGAATGCTTTTAGTGCCTTAGCAGCTGGGATAAAGCCACTGTAACGATGCTACTTTGCAGGCGCCTTGAACAGGGTACGTGCGCAGTATAAACGTAGTTATTACAATCTATAGACGTTAAGCACACTACGCTTATCAGTTATCATTTTCTTTTGCTGAGGTAGTTTTTTTAAAGGCGGCTTACTGTGTGGTGTATGAACAGGGCTGTAGGATGATGTATTACCTGTATGTCTGACCATACTGATTGAGACCCATGTTTTATGTTCTAGAGGGACTATATAAATCAAGATGGACAACTTACATAGATGGATGCGGACCGCTATGAAGCAGTACTAGGAGAAAGCCAGGTGAGATATTTTTTTTAATTCTGGCTCATTTTCTCCCATATTTCATCCAACAATGAAGAATCTCTTTATGTGACTATAGATCTGACTTCATCAGCTTGAGTTTGCCAAATAACCCGCTATTTTCAGACTCGGGGATATTATCCCGAAGCTTGAAATTGCGTCTCCACTAGACCGATACGCTCATCACAATCTAGCTCGGACGGGCCCAAATTTGCCCGCTATTTCCCAAATAGCGGGATATTTTGGAAACAACACCAAGATTTTGTGGATATTTTCTCGACCAAATATCCTGCTAATTGCAACTGCAGGCTGATGAGGATGCAAATTAACTGGCTAACTTGAGATCAGGATAGTTAAAATAGCGGGCTATTATTTGGCAAACTCGAGCTGATGAAGACAGGTCTTCTTCCATTAATGTGCTTTCTGGAATCACTGCTTGTGGTCACAATAATATGAGATTTAGCGTTCATGGATGAAATACACGCATTACGGGTTGTAATACACGCATTCAGGGTTGTAATGCATGCATTATTGGATGAAATACTTGGATGACGAATATGTCGAAGGACCATTAGGTGCCAAAACATGGGTCAGTCGGCCGGAATTTTTAATTTTTTTTTTTTCTCCCATTAGGCTGATATTTCTCAGTTTTGAATGCTTTAAAAAAATTCTCTAAAAGACAAATAAATTTTTTTTTTTTTTAAAAGCCCACCGTAGATTTCAAGATTGTTGGTTCTATCGCAAAGGGCAATACAACATCTTTTTTTTTAAAGCCTTATAATAAGCATACCGGCAGCTTGAAAGTGTAATGGATTATCATACAAATGAAGTTAAAAGTGTAGCAGCCATGATCTTGATTCATCACCATTAACCCCTCTGCCACTGCTTCTACTTTTACATGTTGAACAAAAAAGAATTTATAATGATAATATGCAGTTTATGTATAGTGCATACCACATTATGATACATGTGTAACGTCTCTCTGCGCTTCCAAAGGAAATGGATATTATTACCCTGGCCTTATAGCTCCGGCAAACGTAGCGCCCAGTACATTCAAGGAATGAATTCTACCAGGTACCCACTTACTACACCTGGGTCGAGTGTGACACTATTCTCTTTTCACATTGGTTTTGGTGGCTCAAAATAAATAAATTATAAAAAATTAAAAAAAATTAAAAAATACTGCAATGTAATCATAGTGTCTGTAATGTTCTTTTCAATCCCTCAATCGCTGCCTGTTCTAGGTTGAATGACCATCCCAGTCAATCCACAACAAAATCAACAAAAGGTAGAGAAAGTTTGGACGTGAACTGAGGCTTGTATTCTCAAAAGTGGACAAAGATAAATACTCAACTGTTCTATCGAGCAACAGATGCCATTCTGTCCATTACTCTTACTGCTTAAAGGTAAGAATTTGTGCATGAAATGAAAATTAGCGATTGAGGTGAAAGGATTTTCATTTATGCAGTCTTTTGTAGGGGATGAAGAAGGGGGGGGGGGGGGAGGAGGTCCCATTATAACAAGTCATACAAAATAGTTAAATCGATTACACTCCCAAGTAATGTTGTGATTGCCAGGTGCGTTCCGACCGGCTGTAAAAAATAACATACGACCCATTTTCTCATTGCAATGGAAGATACGATTTGTCTGTCTCATGAGGTTACGTATAACAAGATACATCTCCACCATGTCAGCAGGTTATTTAAGTTGTTGAAACCTCAAATTGGTGATTATGTGATTATGAGAGACAAAAGTAGGTGGTAAGGATATTACATTGTACCATCATTCAAGTATCAATCATGATAATATTTCTGTTCTGTATTTAACAAATGTTATGATATTCTTATCAAGAACCAGATATTGTGATCTTTAGCATAAAGATTCCTGTTTTAATGCGTACATGAGCGTAACAAATCTTCCTTTCCTTTATTTTCATTCTTCCTTCAGGTGTTGTCATACTGGATGCAGTCAGCAAGAAGTTGAGAATCTTGCTTCAACTCTGTCCATGTGTGAAGTGTAGAAGGAAGAAACTTCAATGAAATCAGCTATATTTCTGCATTGCACCGTCCGTCTCTCTCTCTCACTCACTCACTCTCTGTCTCTCTCCCACTCACTCGTTCCCCCTCACTCTCTCTCCCCCTCAATCTCTCCCCCCCCCCCCCCCTCAATCTCTCTCCCCCTCAATCCTCTCCCCCTCATGTTCTATCCCCCTCGCTCCTCTCCCCCTCTCTCTCTCCCCCTCACTTTCTCTCTCTCATGATTTGGTCATGAACTATCTGAAACAGTCTGTCAGGGGATCATCAAGCCATCAAATTGATCTTGCATGTAATGTAATTGATGAAACACCCTTGGGAACATGTTTCTCAGAAGACTGTCTGGTCGCTTAATAGCTATCGTTACACTTACATCCCAATCTGGTGTTCCTACAGAATTGGGTTAACCTATCCACTCATTGTTTTCAGCTTTGAGGAGAATAAAAGCAATGTGAAGAGGATATTCCTTCTGAATTTTATTTTTTAGAGATAAGTTTTTAATTAGAGATACGGTAGTGAGGAGAACATGAAAGAGAGAGAAGGGAGAGAGTGCATGTGTGTGGAGAGAGACAGAGAAAGAGAGAGAGGGAGAGAGACAGACAGACAGACAGAAAGAAGAGAAAACGAAGGGAGTGAGAGAGAGAAGGAAAATGCGACACATTTAAGTAAAAGTAAAAAAACTCGACACATCATTCTTGCGTATTTTCAATATATATTCGTATTGATTCAACTCACAGCTGACAAGAAAAAACAAAACTTTGAAGTAAAAGTTTCTTTGATACACCACTCATTGATTTACATTCCTCCAACATAACTTTCCTCGTATTTTCCAAATTTTGTGTGTTAACCACAAATCATACACAAAAATAAAAATGGCAAGTTACATAAATGAACATGAGTGAATAAATCGGTACAACCACTGCTGCTAAATATATTAGTGTGGACAGACTCCCTCGCCCCTTTAAGCCTTGTTAGAACATGACACGACAACACCCCTGCAGTTTTTCATAAGACAAAGTGTAATATGCTACCCATTTCTGCATGTTGTAACACAGGGCTCTGGGAATACGCACAAGCCTTGTAGCACATGCAGTTGTCATTCATTTACATGTAAAACCGTGGCAGGTTCATTTTTTTTTGCGTTGGTTTATATGAACAAGCCTTTATGGGGAATATTCGTTATAATATGACATGATGTACATGAAAGGGGTTGTACACCACACTGAAGTCTTTACTGACATAAACCGATCCAATAAAGTCCTAATGTCAAACAGAAGCTGCATGTCGGGATGGTTCTCATTGAGACAAAAATCTACTTCCTGCATCAAATCAGAATTGCTTTAATCAAATTTCTAAACAGTGTTAACATGCTCTCAACAAACACATACATGCTGCTGCCGTAACTAACAACACATACAACATTAATGATGGGCAGGCATGGTACATTACAAGACAGAGAATATATCTTCAAGTGAAATTGAAAACTGACATGAAGGTGAAAATTGGAAACAGATATACGGTAATTTTAAAGTGCAAAGATGGCCTTAATCTCCTTCATGGATTTTCTGGACAGGCATGCGATTATAAGGGAGTGATAATACTGATTAGCTTCTTCTTTTTCTTGATTAAAAGGTCAAATACCCTTGCACTCAAAAGACACAATTAACAAAAACATTCCGAGCGTTAACTCACAACCATTTGTTTTCTTAACATGGCATGGTTTTTAAAAAAGAACACTTACTTTGGATAGCAAAAACTCAAGTATTTACATAAAATCATTAATTAATTAACTACTTCAATCTGAAATTTACAATATGTACATTTCAATCTACCTTCGGTCGCTTCCTACATGTATATTACTGAACTTGAACATGTAAGATAGTCTTTGCAACTAGTCGTAAGTTTTCTGAACTGACACATAACAACTTCAAATATACATGTATTTTTTTTAATACACATGTAAGGACAAAATTGTTGAAAATTTAGGGGGGCAAAGGCAATTTCCACTCAAGAAAACTGCATAAAAATTGTAATAAAACAGCATCAATGAATTTACTTTCTTAGGAAAAGTAGAAAATTAGAAGACACAAAAATTTCATATTTTGATTGCTCTTTCAAGAGGAACAAAATAAGACTACTACCTCATAATAGCTAAGCCAATCAGAGTACAAGTCGGATAAAAAAGATATTTATGGAGTATCTTTAACATGATTTGAGTTTACAAGAATATTAACTTAATGAACGGGGAAGTCCTTTTACAACAATATTATTCATAGAACTTCTCTGTAAACCTAAATCAAAAGAGGATTTTTAAGTGATTAAATATCAAGAATGTATTTGTTAGGTAAATACACTGTGCTGTAAGCAACATTAACAGTGAGATATTGACTATAAAATGAGCAACAGCGTACATTTATCTGTGTGCAGTTTATAATAATGTGCTTTGCAACAATGCTGGACATATTTAAGTACAAATTCACAACGACTGAATACAATGACCGAGTTCTAATGTCAGATAAACTAGAATAAAGTTAAATAATTATGATGGAAAGTTGGAAACTTCAGCTCAATGCTGAAAGTTAACTTAATGATATCAAATATTTGTGGCGAATTTTGGAAGAAATTTGTGCTTTTACCCTATTCTTTTGAACACGATACATTTGTCAAGTGCTTTAGAATGAAAGTAAGAAGACAAAGGGCTTTTTAAGCTCCTGCAATCTGAAATAAAAATTCATTAATGAATGTTGAAAGGTTTCAAATCAAAGCTCCGGCGTTAAAGGCCCAATCAATACACTTCAACTATTTTCATAAGATATTTCTTTATTCCTATCATCCATAAGAGCAGATTATGTACTCAACTTAGAACAGATGTCGACATACAGGTACAGTTACAGTGAATCCTGATCATACATGAAATGAACGCACGCAGCACAACAACCACACTTTGTTATACATGTATCTGCACAAGTAAATACATATCCTCTGATATATAGAAACAATCCAACCTATACAAAAATATCTTCTTCACACCAAACGAACCTTCCTTCCCAATGTATGATCAATTGTTTGGTGAGTTTGCCAAACTTCATATACATTCACCTGTTTTAATACATATATAATCCCATACTTATATAAGCTGTTACAAACTTCTTCTTCTTCTTGCAAAATATATACACATCGTGCATAGCCGTGAGAAAATCACTTTCACATTTCTTGCTCCATTTGTATGTTGAACACAACATGTAAACCTTCTCAACCATTTCTTATTTTCTCATTTTCAAAACGTTTTGAAACAAATATTCTCAAGTATCTTGCAAACTCTAGTTGCCCAATCATCCATGTAAGACAATAAAATGATGAATAAAAAAAAAATTTGTAAAGTCATACGAGAGACAAAATTAATACTAGACCTTGATAAATACAGCAATGCACTAACCCTAGGATGGATGCGATACAAAGAAAGATGTCTGATATTGATGATACGCAATGTATCATAATGTACATCGTAGCGATATAAGGGAAATCCCCTCAATATCATCAGCAGGGGAATCCCCCTTTGAGAAAAGTAAATGAGATCGTCAGAAATCCCATGCATAAAGGCATATTCATAAGTAAAACACTGAGCTTAAACGCATTTAGTTTTGTAAGGTTATGAATATACGAGCGGCAGATATGATATAAAGTATGATCACTGCATGAAGCAATGAACCTGAACCGCAAACATGTACAACGCTGCTTCCGTACTCCTCATAATAGGCAATGGACGGCCCGTGCTCTTATTCCAACGATCCGGTCCTGCTACGATAATTCCTGGCCATGCCGAGCACAATGATGCAACTTATGTCCATACAAAGCCGATACAATATCAGGAGAAATACACGGAGGCGCTAAAGGCATAGAGGGTCCGATTACATCATCATCCCCAGATCAGAACTGAAGTTCAGACGGCTGAATTCGCGACTATGAGTTACTGGATGGTGTGCTGGTGTAGGTTGGATTCGTTGGCTTGACGAAGCGGTCGTGGTGGCCTGATGGCGAAGGACCTTGGGGCTGGGGCCTAATTCTCTGTTTAATATGAAGATATGGAAGAAATTCAAAAGAGATATATAATTTGACTTTGATTTTGACAATGGACTACATTTGATAATTTCAACAAATCAGTTGAGGGGGTTGTCCTAAAATGTGAAGTCAGATTTGTCTCATTATCTCCCATTTAGCTTCTATTCTACTCTCTCTGTTTCTTCAAATCTCTATTTTTTCATTTATTTCCTTTTCTTTTCTTGTTTTTTGTTTTCCCCCTCTATATCCCCCCTCTCTACATCTCCCCCCCCCCTCTCTCTCTCTCTCTCTCTCTCTCTCTCTCTAAACTACACATCAATCCCTCTAATTCTTCACTTACTCTCTCCTAACTTCTTAACATCTCTATTTGTTTAATTTCTTTCCTTCTCTCTCTATCTTCCCCTCTCTACCTCCCTCTCCCCCTTCCTCTTCCTCTTCCCTCTCTCTCTCTCTCTCTCTCTCTCTCTCTCTCTCTCTCTCTCTCCTCCACTACACATCAATGCCTCTAATTCTCCACTTTCTCTCTCCTAACTTCCTTTCATCTCCCAATCTCTCCCCTTCCCTCCCTCCATCCCTCCACTGTCCTGTCTCCCGCCCCCTCCTTAACTCACCATGTGAGGGTTGAGTGGTGCTGGTCACCCTCTCTCTACGTCTCTCACCTCCCTCTCCCCCTTCCTCTCTCTCTCTCTCTCTCTCTCTCTCTCTCTCTCTCTCTCTTACACTACACATCAATCCCTCTAATTCTTCACTTTCTCTCTCCTAACTTATTTTCATCTCCCAATCTCTCCCCTTCCCCCCCCCCCCCTCCCTCCTTCCCTCCCTTCTTCCCCCACTGTCCTTTCTCCCACCCCCTCCTCAACTCACCATGTGAGGGTTGAGTGGTGCTGGTCCAACCGGTGGAGAGGTGCCATACGGGCTGATGGGTGATGGATGACTGGCCGTGGAGCTGGCAAACGAGGCACCACGGGTGGCTGGGGATGGGGGAGTCATGGCGGGGTATGCTGTCATATCAAGAAAAGACAAAATAAAACATGAAAAACAAACGTGAAAATACCAACTCTGAATGAAGACCAGTGATGATCCATTTCAGTTTGCTTCAGAATCCAAATCCTTTAAAGAAAAATTACTAGTGCCGTAGATTCATCATCATCGTTTAGTGTCCGTTTTTCTCCCTGCTGTGGGGTTGAAAATGTCATTTCCCAGCCCACTGCACTACTTATAGCTACTTGCGCCCTCTATATAGCAAACAATGCTTTATCGGAGCCTGTTGGTCCCCCATGATTCCCTTTTTCTTATGTTAATTGAGAGCTGATTTGATGAGATAACCACCTGTTAGTGACCTTACAGAAAGGTCTAATCCCCCCTGGCCAAACTAGTGCAGATGGGCCTCTAAGACTCTTCTCTGAGCCTTATGATCTTCAGTATCTGCCTGGTTGAGGACAGATGCTCTAAATCTCATTTTGAAACAAATGTAACTCTAACCAGGTAAGATAGGCCTGACTGCTAAGAAAGCATAAATGCTTGTAAGTAATCAACCAGACGGACGACGGCTATCCTCTCCGAAGGACCTGGTAATGAGGATTAATGCCTTACCAAAGGGTACTAGCGCATCACCTTGGTTTTGAACCTGAGTCACTGGATTACGAGACTACTGCTCTACCGACTGAGCTATCGGGTATGGGTGATGATATCATCCTAGGTCTTAGACCTCGAGCCATCTCAACCCTCTCTAGTCATCTATCAATCTTTGGTACAAATTCTTACCAGGTGAGATAGGCCTGGCTGGGTTAGGTGAGTAGGGGATGGGTGATGATATCGTCCTAGGTCTTAGACCCTGAGCCATCTCGTTGAATTGCCTCTCATCATCCATCTCCAGACTAGACTCGCTCTCTGACAGGTGTCTGCTTAGGGCCTCTCTCCTCTCCTGCTCCAGAAGGAGCTTGCGCTGGAGCCGGACGTTCTCCTCCCGTACTTCCCTCTCGTCCTGCTGGATGTGGACAATCCTCTCTTGGTCTGGATTTAAGAAAAGAAAAAGGAGACAAAAATATTGTTAATTGCTAATAATAATAATAATAATAATAGGGATTTCTATAGCGCCGTCTATCTAGAAATTCTATTCTGAGGCGCACTAATTATAACCCTGTCTTTAGCCTAGCTGCCATTACAGCGCTCCAGCATTTCAAGGAATTAATTCCTGCCAGGTACCCATTTACCTCACCTGGGTCGAGTGTGGCAAATGAAGATTAATGCCTTGCCAAAGGACATTAGTGCCATGTGGGGATTGAACCACGACCTTTCAATTTCAAGCCAAGTGCTTAAACCACTTGACTACGCACTGCTACAAACTGAAACTCTTGTATCCATCCCAGGTGATGCTTAAGGCACCTACAAAGTAGTAATATTACCCTTGCTTTAGTCCATTTGCATTAAGATGCTAAAAGCATTAATGAAATAAATTCCTACCAGGTACCCATTAAATACACCTGGGTGGAGAGTGGCAAATCTACCGATACATAAATTTCTTTTCAAAAGACAATCGAACTGCGAACCATGTGATCCACAGTCTGCTGACCTATCCACTAGACCAGGGAAACGTTTCACAAAGCCTGTTTTTCAATGACAAATGACAAAAATCAGTGACAAATCTGTTGATAACCAATCAGAAGCAAGGATTTCAGTAGCTTATAACAAAAACTGTCATTTGTCACTGATGACATGTTTTGTGAAACGGCCCCCAGGTCACCTCTACCGCCTTCCTTCAGAACCAATGCAAATCATGAAATACACAAAGACTCACGTTCCATCTGAGTGGAAAGAAGCTGGTTCTTGAGCTTCCGGACTTCATTCCTGAGCTGTTCCACGTAGCGGGAAAGCGTTTCTGTCGTCTCGCCATTTTTTATTTCACGTGGGGATGGTGGTGCTGAAACAGGCTCGTCCAACTTCTCCTGCAGATTTCTATTAGGGAAATAACAATGAAGAAAAAGTGATTTATTAGATTTTTACAGCAGCAATCGTGCTGTGTTATCAGAAGATCTCAAGACATTTTTATCTCTTCTCTCTTACTATGCCACAGAATTGTATATTTGAAATTCTGTTGAACAAGTTTCCAATCATCTCTCTCAAGTGTTCTGCCAAGGACAGGTCCACGCACCTGGGTCATTTGTAGTTCTTTCTCCATCCATCCCTCTCTATATTTAACCTTCTTCTTCATTATGTCATATGATCTGGTTTAAGGCGCTTGACTGGAGATGCGAAGGTCGAGGGAAATATCCTTTGGTAAGATATTAACCTGCACTTGCTACTCTCCACCCAGGTGTTAAATAGGTACCTGGTAGGATGCGACCGCCATTGTTGGTCAAACAGATTTTAAGCGTCAAGTATTGCCTGGCTGGAATGCTCCCCAGGGAGTGGAGATTGTGCACACAGTGTGTGTGGGCAAGCACTGCATCCAATGACCGAGGTAAAAGTATATTTTTAAAGCGCTTAGAGACATTGTATTAAGCGCTATATAAAAGCTAAATAGTATTATAATTATTATTATCCTTCATCTACCAAGTCTGACACCAACCGAATTCTTGGTCTTCCTCTTGCACGGTTACTATCTAAATGTATCTTCCCTTCCAAGATGTCCAGGAGCATGTTATCCCATGGATGCGTCTTATTCTTTTTTTCTTTCTTCCTTTAATCATAGTACCCTCTTTAATTGTTCACTTTTTTTCCCTAACAATCTTCAGGAAATATTTTCTGTACATGTACATTCTAAAAACAAACAGATATCTAATCGTCCAATACAGTGTCTAAACTGTGAAGTCATGTGAATTATTCTATTGTATGATATACAGCTTGCTTAGCGCATCACCCAAAGAATAATATCTTTATCTATTTTCCATTAAAGTCAGTTAGTCATTAAAGTTTAATTGTTTGTTCTTGTGACTTCCAATGACCAATAAACATGTAAACCAATGTAACCCACAAGGCCTACAAACACAGCTGGGAGCATTTTATTATATGCAAGGCTGTACAGTTTCATATTTGTATAATGGGTCTATAACATTTTGAAATAAAAATGTAGATGGTTCCATTTCTTTACAACAAACGGATCAGTCAGTAAGCTACAAAAAGAAGAGCCTTATGTTTGTTGTATGCAGCTACTAATTTGTTACCCCCATTAGCCATTCATAAAAACATAAACCTAAAATGGTTTGACATGTACGGTACACTGTAGTCGCTGTGGCATATTTTCTAACTGATCCACTAAGTCATGTCTGAGTATAGCTTTAACATGCATAATGGCACCATCCAAATTGTCTGTCATCTTTTATTTATGATGACCTTACATAAATCTGTCATGGATCATAACTCTCCAGGAATATGGCCCTAACTAACCTGCAGGATTATGTACATAAAGATTTATGCTGGTAATTTTCTGTACATAATCTCTCAGATAGACTTTGGAATAAGACACATCTGTGATGGTCATGTTTTCCCATCATGCTATCTATAGATTACATGTGAATAAAATATTTATAAATTAACCCTTGGTGTTGTTTTCTCTGTTTTTTTGTCGCCTTTCAATATCAGGGGGGTGTTTCACAAAGATCCTATTAAGTTGAACTTAACTCTAAGTTGGACTTAAACATTATGGGGAGCTATTTGCAGTCTTAAAATAAAATATATTCAGAAGCGAAAAATTCAATTATTTTAGACTTTTTATAAATTCCACATCAAGAACATGAAATCTCCTTGATGATAGAATATCCGAATGATTTGAATCAACATTTGATGCCTTTTAACATAACTTTTACAAAATATTTTCATAGATGCTAACGGCTTTCCATATCTGTTAAGTCCAACTTAGAGATAAGTTGAACTTAGGATCTTTGTGAAACACCCCCCTGAGCTGATAAAGCTCCTTTCATACATGTAGGGGGGGGGGGGGGGGTAAGGTCAAAGTCACAGAGAAATCACATCAAATCGTTGGAAGCCCAATGCAACTGCATTGTGAAAGAGACTGTCTAAGAAGTTATCAGGAAAGGCACGGCTAGGTTGATCATGAGATAAGAATTGTTGTGTCTTGAGAGCTTTTCCAATCGTTGAAATGATTGTAAACACAGACTCAATAATAGAGCTTATAATTTGCAAACAAAATACACACAGATATGAGTAAATGTGACTACACACACATATGGCATCAACATTCTGTCCAAGTTTCAAACTAATATTTATTATTTACATGTACAGTTAAGAACTCTATTATTCATACCCTTGCCAAGTTTTGTATTTTTTTAAGTATGTGAAATATTGATTTTCCTGATGAATGTACTTGAGAATATTTCAACCAGTCCGTCATTCATTCTTGAGTTATGAAAACACACAAAGTATATCAAATTTACAAGGGTATGACTAATTCAGTTGTTACATATTTGGAATATGAGTGCATTTCAAGAGATATCCTTTTCAATAACACTGCTACGATTATATTCTCCAAACAGGAATAAAACAAAGATGGAGAAAGCTCACAAACCATTTCCTACCTTTAGCAAAACACACATGTCTTTAAAGGGATCCGGTAACTTTGTCTCAGATTCTGAAAAAAAATCCTCGATTTAGCTTGTGATGCAGTGATGATTATAAACCTTTAGGTCAGTCAGGAGCCCCATGACTTTTACAAGCCGATCGCCTGTCTGATTATCAAGATATTTATGAGTTGGAATTACAAATTTTGAAAACCGTTCGCCTGACGGTTTTCATAACACTACAGTCTATTGGGGAAAACGAGTATGGTAAAACCGGTCACTCAAAGATTTTTACTTTTTTGAGGCACTTCTTGATCATTTTGAAGCGCAATTTTTTTAGGGCTTCAATATTACACCATATCACAGACACTGATAACACTTAGGGCCGTGTATCTCAGATTTAACATTGTTAAACGATCCCTTTAAGGGAACATCCTACCGGCCAGGTCGGAGCCCTTACATTGTTCATAAACATATCCTATCAAGTATCACCAATATTTGCCCACATCAGCATGATGGCAGCATTGGATTTCACTATCTGCCTCAAAGCATGTGGTTTTAATGTCTTTAACTTTATACCAAAGCCTCTCAAGCACCTCGCTAAGCATATTCTTATTATCTTAAAGGATGCGCTAAGCTTGATAATAACTTATTCACACTGAACGCAGAAAAAAAAAATTAAGAGAAATGAGAAACTTGAAATTGTTTGCTCTTGTACTTTGGACCAGGATCCCCATCTTCATGAATAAATCTTGGAATTTTTGTCTAAAAAGAATAATTAAAAATATTTGTAGAGTACATGACTACATGTACATGTTGGTGTTGTAGCAAAAAATGTAGGAAGCCTCAATTTTCAAAGTTCAAATACTTGTACGTAAATCTTGGATATAATGGGTTTTTTTAATCAAAGAAAGATTAGTAAAATTTGTTCCACCAATTTTAAAATCAAAACAATATTTTTTAAATCAAACATGGATTAGTAAAATTTGATCCCCTTATTTATTTACCACGAATAGTGAAAACACTTTACCGCTCCTTCAAAGTTCAAAAACTTGTACGTAAATCTTGGATATAATGGAGTTTTTTTTTAAATCAAAGATGGATTAGTGAGCAAAGATGGATTAGTGAACAAAGATGGATTAGTGAGGTTCGTCTACTCATGTTACAAGAAATAGTGAAAGTACTTTACCTCTTCTCTGCTTCCAATTTGTCCATTCTCTTCCACAATCTGTTGACTAAGGCTTCTTGTTCTTGCTCTAGAGCATTCTCCAGGTCTATCTTCTCTCTCTTCAGCTGTAGTAGACAAGATAGCAGAGAGAGAGAGAGAGAGAGAGAGAGAGAGAGAAAGAGAAGGGGTGGGGTGGAGATGGAAATGATGATATATCAGTTACAAGGTTAAAGGTAATATTAGGACATTCTCTTGAATGAATAATTTTACCTGTCAATCTGTCATGCAGCTAGCACACAAAAATGATTTTACAATTATGAATATAATCTGAAACAAAGCAAACTTGAGAGCAATATACAGGAGATTTCCTTTTTAATTTTATATAAATTGTATAAACAGGACTGCAAGCAACACAGCATCAAAATTTGATCTGATGTATCAATGTTTCAAGTCATTAAGAATACAAGAGCATTTCAAGAGTTCAAGAGCATCTCTTTTCATGCAACATTGCAAATATTCTTCCATATTTCATTTTGTAAAATGAGAAAGCTCACACACACTATTTTGCATAGTCACTAGAAGTCAATCTCCTCTTTAATGTCACACAATCTTATTTGGGCTGCTCACATGCCACAACACATCCAAATATGTTCTATGACATTCTCAAGTCAACCCAAGCATGAACCTAGCTTGTATCTAGCTAGGAGGCTTGATTGCTTCCTGGCCGACTCAAACTGCCAGACGTGCAAGAAAAAAAAGGAAAATAACAATTAACTTTTACAATGCAGGGATGTGAACGTAAATAGACCACAACATTGTCAGCTTCCTATATCGGTTATCATGTGCAGATCACTTGTTGTTTTCAAAAAATCTTTGAAAACAATGTGCAATGTGTTGGTAGTGGGTTCGAACCCCGGCCTCGTCATACCAAAAGACGTTAAAAGACGGGAGTTGCTGCTCCCTTGTTTGGGGTTCAACAATAAGGGATAGAACAACGTCGTTCTGGCGCTGCTCAGTGGCTGCCGGGCTCACGATCAATTGGGCAAAAAGAATTTCCATTTTTGGTTTAACTTAATAAAATTTGGAGTGGACTTTAAAATATTATTATTACTATTATTATTGTTATTATTATTATTATTATCTGTGCCCCTTTCTTGTCATTTTGACGATACCAAAACTCATCTTACATGTATACATGATTGACCTTTCCTAATTACTAATAGACAGTTTCTTCTTCTTCTTCCAATGCTGGTACAGTACGCAGGCAAGAGTACTTTCTTACTCTTGTGCTGTGCTTTTGTTAAAATGAATTCCTTCAATTCAATTTCAAACAGCTCAATCTCTGAGAATCCATCAACCTCTGAGATCTTCCAGCCTGGCTATAATGTGGTTTGAAAAGATGTAATACACTGTAATCCAATGATGAGTACTGAACTCTTATCTTTAAAACCCTCACAACTTCATGTGAACTTTGTTATGACAGGAGTGGAAATCCCACACCGAGATTTGAACAAGCGTACTTCAAAGGCAATACTGTATTCCTCGGCTGAAAGGTACCGTAAAGGTCGCACCCTAGTTTGACAACTAGTTCATGTAAACTCAAGGCTGCCTTTACGCCAGAAAAAACGGTAGTCATCTTTTTGAGCACTGGTGGTAATATTTCAATCTAGAATTTCAAATTAGAACATTTTCTCTGAAAGGTCATAATAATAAAGGAAATCAAAATGATATTTAAGCTTTAGGGATTAGAAGTTTAGAACCATGCAAATATTCATGAAAATGCATAAACTCTTGCTGAATATCATTGCAAGGCGGATCCATGCAATACGTCCGGGACAACTTTTTTTCTTTCTTCATATTTTATCTAAAAATGAAAAATCTCAGTGGACTGTAAGTACTAGTACTGCAAACACTTGCAAAGTGCTGCATCGGTATGGACACGTGAGCATGGAATTGGAACTACACAAACATGTGGCTAGATAGGTTGTTTAAATCTTGCCCTGGGGATAATCTTCATGCATTTCTAGGAATAGGCCTACTTGAAGTATGAAATTGTCTGGGTACAGATCACCACAAGGGCATTAACATACTGTACATTAACAACGAGCGAGCTAACCCCTCTGTAGCTCTGAACAGATGCAATAACAAAACTCTCCAACATTTTCCAATTAATGAGAGATTTTTACACGATTTGACCACAAGGGAAGAGCTAAAAACGGTACGTAGAACAATCTCACTTATTAATTCCTCTATCTTTACCTCTTCTAGTTTTCGTTGCTTTCCTCCTGTATCGTTCTCCAATCTTTCTATCTTCCTCATCAGTTTGTTGACCTGGTATTCCTGCTCCTGCTCTAGCGTTTGCTCCAGCTGAAGTTTCTCATGTCTCAACTGGATGTGAAGAACAAAAGAAAGAAAATCTAATAAATTACAACAAAAACAAAAACAGTGAATAAAGATAAGATACTGTATCTTGCATTTGAATTTGAACATAATTCAAATAAAACATCAAAGGTAACAGATTATACTCACAACTTCTTTTTTTTCTAAAAGAAAGAATTATGATCATACAAGCATGTAGCAAACAGCCCCCTGTGGAAAGATTTCACTCTCTTCAGAAAAAATGAGGTCACACTGCTCTGATTCGGAGCAAGCGAGGGCCTCAAGATATTTTTCATTAAGAATTTACTTCTTGAAGTACATATTGATCTCTAGAGTAGATTATACTTCCTCTTCCTTTGTGCATCTTCTTGCCTCGATTGAGGCCAGGATGTGAGATCAAATCAACATGATATCAGGTGTTTTCCCACTCACTATTCCATTTCTTTCCATGTCAACTTGAATAAACATGTGGCAATCTCTTTACAAACTTCATAACACCTTGAGGAATGCGAATAACACGATGAATGTGTCTCAAAACAAGGGTCAGGAAATGAACGATTCACACAAAGTTGATTTCTGCCAAACAATCATAATGCATCTTATATCTTGACTATACTATTTTATTTCTTTCTATGTCAACTTGAATAAACACGTGAAAAGCTCTCAACAAACTTCTCTAAAGCATATGAGAATGTGAATAAACATGATGAAGGTGTCGGAAACAATGGTCAGGAAATGAACGATTCGCACAATGTTGATTTCTGCCAAACAATCATACAAATACATGTACATGCATCTTATATCTTGACTAGTATACTATTCTACTTCTTTCTATGTCAATTTGAGTAGACACGTGGAAAGCTCTCAACAAACTTCACTAAAGCATAGAAGAATGTGAATAATTTGATGAAGGTGTCTCAAAACAATGATCAGGAAATGAAAGATTTGTACAATATTGATTTCTACCAAATATTCATGTACATGTGTGCATCTAATAATCTTGATGCAACTATTCCATAGTGCTATTTCCCCCCTTATGGGCTCCCATGACAAATATTCGGATCACGTCGTAAATGGAACAGCCTATTTTGACACTTACAACGCAAACCAAAAACCCTTATTTTTCTCTATGCCCAGAATAATTCATGACGGTGAAACCCACCTCAAACATCAAACATTCGACATCAACTATAGACTGCTCCAATACTTGTTTCCTAATTTACTCTGATGCAAGAATATACCAGTAAGATACTACATGTATGTGCACAGCGTCAACAGGAAATTAACTGCAGTATTTTATTTCTCTACCTTAACCCTAAAAACAAAGACTTCATCACACATTTCGTGGTTCACAAAGAATACAGATTTCCTGTTCAGCAGCAAATGTGAAGGAAAAGAGACCAAACTAATCTTCACAAATTGCATTATTCTTGCTCACGATGCCTTTATTCTGCCCTTAGGTGCTACATCCAAGACAGGTACATGTAGCATGATGAATTAATCTCAATCAGATGGTCTCTTCGCACAGTCCAGGCTTATGCTTCTTCATTTCCTATTTTAAGAAATGCAGAAAGGGGCAACTTTGGAAATTGGCACTCTACCTTTGTTTCAAGAACTCCCTCAGGGCATTCAAGAGCTACACTGTACATGTATTTTCATCCATACAGTGTGTAGGTATTGCTGCATATCATCTGATGAGAGCCATTATCTGATGGGCATTAACAATATGTACCGGTATGTATAGTACCAGTAGCCAGTTGACTTCTAAATTCTCTCATTCCCATAGGCTTAGTACAAGAGTTGATTGGTTCCAGTAGACAAAGGGTTAAATAATGCCCTTCTAGCTTTCAACTGATCATCCGTTTTGCCAAAAAGATCATATTAAAATGATCATGAAACATTAATGTTTCACTTCATGAAAGTAAATGCATTCAGTGAGATGTTCACACATTGGACGTTCAGCCGTATACATTGTAGGCTGACATGTTAGTCAAATGTTAGAAAATCAGCCTGCAGTAATACGTTTCTAAGTACACCATTTTCATGAGTATGAACAGGAGAAGGTATTCTGAGCTTTGACCTTCGCAATTATATAGAGCTCAAACCGAGCAGGTGAACATCTGCCAATTTGCACTTGGTCAATGGCTGGCAACCCTGGGGAAACGGTAGGAAATTAGGGAGGAGAAAAGGCAACCCTGGGTGTCTCAGTTTCTTTTGAGATTTTCCAGTCTACAGGAAAACGACCAAAATATTGATTAGAATCTAGCGTTTTAAAGGGTATGTGTGGATGAAGCCTGAATATGTGGACATTCTGTGTAGGAATGAAGGGATGATGAGGTTTTAAATATGATGTTTTCACAATATTTTAGAGAAAATATACATAGCCTTACACAGGTATTCAGAAGCCAAAACAGAGTGTGGAAGGTCCATAACTATAATGTGGAAGAGGCATACAGTATAGCCTACAATGTATATACAAAATGTAGGTCAACGAAACAATAACAGAAATGCTTGACACTATTAATTGAACACCATTCCCTGTATACTTTCATGTACATGTACATGCATATGGCCTGATGTATACTGTATGCTCTTGGGACATGACCTTAAATGTACAAAATTGTACATCAATATGAACAATTATGGATTTGATGTCCCAGCCCTAAATACAAAATAATATGAATGCTTATGAATCTAGAACATGTCGTCCGCTTGGAGCCAGCGGGAGTAAGCATTTTATCCATCATTTATTATCATCCGGTCATACTGTACATGTATGTATGTATATCATTGCACAATGTCCTGTCAATGTTCATACATTGTAGTCTGTACCATAACATCTATTCACTATCTTTGTAATTGGAAAATCAACCTCCCTCTTGTACCGCCAGTCCGCCACCATTGAAGACAATTGGACCCGCTGAGGCAAATGAACTACGACACGATCCTCTCATTACAGCCTGCAGGTCATCCATCTTCGGGGAAGACCTTTTCAATAGATATTACTCATTGGATTGTTGGGCAAAGGCTTTCCTTCATGTACAATGATCATTGCTTGTGGATCTAGAACATATCGCCCGCTTGGAGCTAGAAGGCCTGTCTTCATCAGCTCTAGATTGCCGAATAGCCCGCTATTTCTGATTCAGAAAATAAGCCCGAAGATACAAATCGCGTCTTCATCAGCTCAAAACTCGAGTTGAGAAATTAGCTCGAGAAATTTGCCCAGTCTTCGCACATATTGCGAGTCTTCGGACCGAACAAATAGCGGGCTATTTTACAAACTAGCCCGAGATATCGTGGGATGATTTCCCCAGAAAAAAGCTATTTCGTGATCTGGCTAATTTCTCGAATCAGAAATAGCTGGCTATTTGGCCAACTCGAGCTGATGAAAACAGGCCTAGACGGGCCTAGACAGACTTTTACTCATATATTCTCGCACAGAGTTAACGCGCTTTCAGCTCTGAACGGAGGATATTCCCTGGGGTAAAGACAATGTTTGAAGCAGAACATGACCTGTGTTTGTTTTTAGCTCAGTTTGCATGCTGTGGGGATTTTTGCTGATTCCATCAGTACTGTACTGCATAGACATACATTGTACAAGTTTGCCACTTCAATGTAGGAATATTATTTAACCAAATTTAATTTAAACTAGAATTTGAAAAGTCATTTTTTAACCAAATTTCTGGATATCTATGGCATTAAGTTCAGCAAACCTTCAGGCTTCCTTAGCAAGTAGTCATTTATTGCATATTTATAAACAAAACCACTGAAAAAAATACACGGGGGCTCAGGGCGATTTAGCCCCCGAAATGCCCAAAAGAGCCCCCGAAAATCAGAAAAAAGCCCATAAATTTGCATAGAGTTCAATGCAAAACAGATTTTAGAATGTTATTTTCATGCAGGCAAGCTTGAAAAGTAGCCCCCGAAAAATAAATATTAATTTTTTCCCTGAACAAAACATAATAGAGGTACATCTCTGCCTAAGCAATATACATGTACTTGCAATGAGTGCATATTTTCTACTGAAAGATTAATACGTGGCCCAATATCATCAGGTCAAAATATTCTTTTAGTAGGGACTAAATATGCCACGGACATGGGGCCTTCATGAACTGTGTTGAACTAAAGGCCAGGTACAGTATACCGACAAGTAGCTGATATTATCAAATGCTTTAAGACAATCAAAATCATTCCAAGTGAGTTCAAGCCAAGTGCAACCGTTTCACATCTCCATCTGATCTTTAGCATGTACATGTACACTGTACCTCTATGTAGTCTGACTTCCAGGATTTTTTTAATAATTTCTCAATGTAGCCAGAGGTATGTACAACAGGCACCCAGGGCACACGGGCCCAAACAGAGGCATAAAAATACTTCCTTTGCCTAGGAGACAGGCTAAGTTACACCTAGCATTACGTGATGACATTGTGATGTTTTCCAAAGACACTTAACACCACCATCGTTTAATACATGGAGTTAATTAACAATTAACCAGGAAAAGGATTCCCACCTGGAGTCTACCATCTGTTCAAGCAATCAGGGTCTAGACTAAACAAGTTACTGGAATCTTATTTTGATACCAGGACAACATATTCAGAATTTCAGATTATTGAGGATCAAAATAAAATTCTTCTTCCAATCTCCGTTGACGACATAAAACAGGAACAGACAAGGAGGGGGCGCCATAATTCCCTCAAATTATAAAGGACCTATCTGGCAGGGGCCCAGATTGAGCTACTTGTACAATACAGATGTAGGTTTATGTTCATGTATCGGTATGCATAGGCCTACAATGTGCAGAAACAGTGGCCTTCATGCAAGACATGCATTCCTAAAATCTTTCCTCTAGGGACCATTTTCATATTTTGAATTTAAAATGTGGCTCTCAAAAAAAAGGGAAACATGTTTTCTAAAAGGATAAATAATTAAAACATACAGGAAGGGAAATTCATTTTCATCTGTAGATCCAGATATAGAAGCTGTCGTGTAGACTTAATCCCCCCTCGCTG